CCCTTCTGTTGTTGCAGAGTTGCTATAGTTACAGGCACATGGGTAGGCTAGGCTGGCTCCCTGACCAGCTGGTTGTAAGGCTCTGTCGAGTACGGCTGCTACCATCACTTTATGGGGCAGGGCAAGTCCCTGGCACCGCTGGCTGCGAGGTCTAATAGCACACAGCTACTGCAGTTTTGCTAATAAGTGAGATAGGGCCCCAATGTGGCTGGTTGCCAGGCTCAGGGGCACACAGTAGCACAGGTTGTTGTAGATTTGTTGTGTCCATGGGAGGAGGTGAGTTCAGGATCTTCTTACACCACCATCTTCCAAACTCCTGCCAGAAATTTTAAAGTCCCATAATACCAAGCTGTCAGGATATAATCACTGCTGAAGAGTGTATAAATTGGTATAACTGCTTCTCTAGTAAAATTGAAAATGTACATATCCTGCAAACCAGCAGTTCCACTCTTAAGTGTCTTCCCTGGAGAACTCTTGGACATGTGCACAAGAAGATATGCAGAAGAATGTTTATGACAGCTTTCCTTTAACAGAGACGCATCTGAAACAAACTTGAGCCAGAAAAGAACCCATTAGTCCATAGCTACACTCAAAATATGGTGGAAGTGAGCTTTCTTCTTTCAAAGGCTGCCAGCTTGATATTTAGGAACCTTCAGTAGCCCAGAAATGGGAGAAGTTCTTTTATCCAAGGTAACTTTTTCTTGATAACTTAATTTCACCATAATAACAATCACTTTTATACCATGCTTTAATAGTGATACTCTCAGGTGCTACTGAAGGAAGTCAGTTTGCCCCTATATTAAAGAGTTTCAGATTATAGTGATAATACTAGTCCTCTTACTAGTTTGTTATCAATATATTTTTAGAATTTCTCTCTTCTCACTAGAGAGGCTGTCAGCAGTCACTGTTCTCTGCCTTGCTATCTATATTCCTGCCTTTGGCACCCTCTATATCCCCTTCTAATTGGATTCTTCTGCAACAAGTAACTTTTTTTTTAATTGAGGTATAATTGGCATATAACATTATATTAGTTTCAGGTACCGTAACTAACTTTTGCAGTACTTTATAGTTGGCATAGCATCAACACACATACCTCATTTAATTCTCACAATAACCTTATAATACAATAACTATCACTATTCCTATTTTATAGATGAGAAAATTGAGGCTCAGAAAGATTGAGTAATTTATCTAAGGTCATAAAGTAGGTAAATAGCAAAAGTGATCTCAACTGTCAACCGTTTCTTCTTTCATCACCAAAGTGAGCTTGTTAAAAACAAATTAAGTGAGAGTCAAAAGTGGGGCCTATGGGACCCGCCCGGTGGCGCAAGCAGTTAAGTGCGCGTGCTCCGCTGCGGAGGCCCGGGGTTCGCTGGTTCGGATCCCGGGCGCGCACGGACGCACTGCTTGG